GTGCTGGGATTAAAGGCATGCACCACCTCGCTCGGCCTTAAAGGGTTATTTTTAAGAAAATATTCTATTATTTTCATTTTGTGTGTGTGAGTGTATTGCCTGCATGGGTGTAAGTGCACCTGTGTCATGCAATGCCTGCAGAAATCAGAAGAGGGTATTGGATCCCCTGGAATGAGAGTTATGAATGGTTCTTAGCTGCCATGTGGGTGCTTGGAATCAAACCCCAGTCCTCTGCAAGAGCAGCCAGTATTCTTAACTAATGAGCCATCTCTCCAGCCCCCAAAGAGTCATTTTTTTTAATCTCTTTCAAAATTGACTGTAAATTTTTAGGTTTACAGTTGAATTAATACAGTTATACAATATTGTACTCAGTATAAACCATATAAGACATAAAATTAATTGAGGTTTTAACCTTTAAAAAAGATCTCCATTTCATTTTAAAATATACTGTTTCTTACAGTATATACTCATTGTTTTTGCTACTAACACTGAGATGTTGGCACAAGCATCTCTAATCTGTATATATCTGATTATTACTAGTCATAATCAGTTTCACTTGGATCCTTGGCACCTGTGTATGTCTATAAAGTCATCGAGTAGATTTCAATGGTAAGGCTTATCACCTCTACTAATTAACATGATGTAAATTTTTATGCCTCCTCCTCAAACATAACACATTTTTTTAAATCTGTTGATTTTTTTGTGCATGTGTATATCACACAGAACATCCCAAACCATCTTATTCAACTATACACCCACTTCCCAGATGGCACCCTCCCATAGCCTTCCTCCCTACACTAGAGCCCTTATACTGTTATCCCTGCTGCTTTCTGCTGTGTTGTCAGCACCCCCAGCCATTCCCCACTACTTGTCCATCTGGTGAATCTAATCAGCCCATCTAGAGGTCTTTGTTTTAGGAAGGTCAGCTGTTCCTCATCTAGCAGCAATCAAATTAGTTGTCAAAACTCCTTTAGATAAGATTGAGGTCTGCTGTTAATTTTCCCAGTTCTATGCTGGGTTACTATCTGAGAGTCCCTTTGGGCACACTGGCCAAAATTCAAAAGAAGGTATCTCCTATCTGGCACTGTTGCTTGTTATGTAGCCTTTAGCTATACATATGGACTCTTAAAAAACTTATGTTGGCCCCTTTAATCTTTGGTTATACTTTCCTTTTGGGTGTTTAAGGCCATACAGTTGGCCCAGAAACCAATTTATTTTTACTCTTAGGATCATTTGAGGATCTGTTCCTTGGGGGTCACATGGGCTTGGGAGGAACCCCTGGCTCCTTTTACCAGTTCCGCCTATGTGAAGATAAGTCAAAGGTCCTACTCGACCATGGCTGGCTTCGCTTAGAAGCATGGAGTAGTGATTCCTCTGTGTTGACCCTCCTCTTTGTAGACCGGTCACTGGTTCAAGTCCATCTCGTGGGGTCTCTTCGGCCTCCTTGGTCAAGAGGACAGGTGACCTACCACAATTATAGGACATTCTGAGAAATGCTCATAGTCCCCTAGAACTAGTAGACCTAGGAGGGCAAGGAGCAAAAACTGTCCTTTATGTCCCTCTGACCAAATTATTATAGGCCTCAAAGTATGTCTGTTAAACATCCAAGAAAGTTAGTTCCACCAGTCTGGTGCTTTTAATTACTGTGTGTCATGTAGATAAATCTTGGTCAAAGACCAATTGTTCTCAGATAAACCTTACCTAGACATATATTTCTTGATCTGGTATGTATAATTTGTCAGTAGGTTGTTGGAGTAATATGGTTCCCTCTGGTTTTTAAAACTAGATAGGCATTGTTTATCCCTCTCATTGTCTCACCCCTCCATCATGCTTTCCCCACTTAAGATGCCGCCATTTCCTCCCTTTCTCCCTTACTAATAATACCCTTCTCCTACCCTACCTCTCTTGAGCTCCTTTCCCTTTATCCCCTAGGTTCCTTGTATACCCTTCCCTCCCCCTCCCCTTAAACTAACCCAAGTTTTATCCATATCTTCCTTATTAATGTCTGTTCCCTACTGTTCTTCTCTTGCAGGTTCTTTCTTTTCCTTTAGCTCCCTGGTTCCTTTCCATCCTCCTGGTTATAGTCATGTCTGGGTACATACTCATTTATTAGGATTTGGTTCTAGGATCCACATATGAGGGAGAACATATGTTGATTTTCTTTTTCTGAGTCTGTGTTACTTCACTTAGTATAACAGTTCTAGTTCCATCAGTTTGCCTTCAAATTTCATGATTTCATCTTTCTTTACTCCATATAGGTAAGTGCACCCATTTTGTGCAATGTCCAAGGAGGACAGAAGAGGTTGTTGGATCCCCTGGAACTGGAGTTATGGACAGTTGTTAGCTGCCATGTGGGTGTTGGGAGTCTAACCCTGGTATTCTGCAACAAGATCCAGTGCTCTTAACCACTGATTCAATTTGTAGTTTTTTTAAGAGTTCTCCACACTGCTTTCCATAGGGGTTGAAGCAGTTTGCAGCTCTACCAGCAGTGGATGAGTGTTCCCCACATCCTCTCCAACATTTGGTATCATTTGTTCTCTTGATCTTAGCCAGTCTGACTGGGGTAAGATGAAATCTTAAAGTGGTTTTAATGTGCATTTCCCCTAATTTTTAGTGACGTTGAACATCTTTTAAGATGCTTCATAGCCATCTTTACTCCTTCTTTTGAAAACTCTCTGTTCAGCTCCTTAGCTCATCTTTTAATTGGGTTACTTCTTGTCTTGATTCTCTGTTTTTTGGGTTTGTTAAATATTCTGGATATTAAACCTCTGTCAGATGTGTCACTGATGAAGATTTTCTCCCATTCTGTGGGTTTTCTGTTCACTTCCCTTGTTGCCTCCCCAAAGGGTCATTTTTAAAGAACTCCGTGCGGCTTTTCTTGGGAGAAGAGATTGGCATAGGACAGCACTGGAAACAGAGAGTCCTGTGGAAAGGCCCCAGAGATGATGGTGGTCTGCACCAAGACAGTGGCAGTACAGACTAGGATTCAATGTGAGAGTTGAGGACACTTGGTTTCTGGCCTGGACACCTGACTTGATGGGAGAGAACAGGCTAGGCACAGAGGAGATGGGTGGGGATGATGAGGTCATCATTTTCTTATGATTCTGACAAGGTTTGTCATTCTGCATGGATTAAATCACTGTTATGACATGTAAAAGATAGTATCCTCTCGTCTTTACTCAGTGTGAGAAAAGATGGGAGTTTCTCTTACCAAGTAGTGAGCAATCAAAGACTAACCGGAAGCAGGAGTGATAAGATGCCAGAAACATGCAATTCAAAATGTGGTTACCGGCACTGAAAAGCTTTCAGTGTAGTGACAATGCAAGACATCAGCCCTGGTTCTACTTGTGTAACAATTATTAGTAATAATTATGAACTAGTTTGGACCAGTCCTACAGTATAGAACTCCCATCCTATCCAGCTTCACCATCTAGAGGATGGTGCACTGCAAACTATTGACTTTCACCAGAGTCTACGTATCTGGTGCACCCCTCCAGCAGGCCACCAAGTCAATGACAATGGTCTTGGTACCTCTTTCTCCCTCCCATGAAGAATAGAGTTGGGGAACCAGTTAGGCTATTCTTTTAAAAAATATATTTTATTTATTAATTTTATTTTATTTGTATGAGTGTATTGCTTGCATGCAGGTAGGTGCACCCATGTCGTGCAATGTCCACAGAGGTCATAAGAGGGCATCAGATCCCTTACAACTGGAGTTACAAACTACTGTTAGCCACTATGTGGCTGTTGGGAATTGAACCCAGGTCCTCTGCAAGAGCAGTCAGTATTCTTAATTGCTGAACCATCTCTCCAGCCCCAGCTATTCTTTTTTTTTTTAATTTATGCTTATTTTATGTGTATGTGTACTTTACCTATTTTTCTCTTTTGCCACCTGTATTTTTGGTACTACAGCTAAGAAATCATTGCCTAATCTAGATCATGGAAATTTACTCTTATGTTTTCTTCTAACACTTCTATGGTTTTATCTCTCATGTTTAAGTTTTGATTTATTTTCTACTTGTTTATTTTTATTTTACGTGTATGAGTGTTTTACCTGCATGTGTGTAAATTCACCACATGTGTGCAGTCCCTTCAGAGGTCAAAAGAGGGCGTTGGAATCCCTGGAACTGGAGTTAAGGATGGTTGTTTGCTGCCATGTGGGTGCTAAGAACCAAACCTGGGTCCTCTATAAGAGCAGCCAGCGCTCTTAATTGCTGAGCCATCTCTTCAGCCTCTAGTCAGATAATTCTTAGTCCTAGTCCTTCTGCTACCCCAACAAGAAGGGTTACTTAGACCTTCCATTTTGAAAGGCTCATTGAAGTCAAAGCTTTTTTCCCTTCTCAAGGTCATATAGAGCAGTGTCACACTTGGTTTGCTCATTTAGAATGAGAAAAGTACTAAGCCACAAATATGAGGATTTCCTGGGTTATACACTTCACACTAGGTGACCAGTGCAGTATGGGGAGCCTGCTGGGTGCAGTTACATTAAATTATATGGAGGCAGTGGCTCTGAGATCTTACTGACTAGCTTGTTTCATCCAAACCCTTTCCCACATGGCCCTTCTTGGCCAATTCATGGTAGACTGTGCTTCTCCTCCTCAGCTTGGAGAAAGTGCTCAGCCCTACATTGGTTCTCTTGATGCTAAAGCAACAGGTTACTGGACCTTTGGAGTGGGTCTTCTAGGTGTTGCCCTATAAGAAGGAGCACTGGGTGGCTCACCCTGCCCCAAACCAACAGGTATTTTCTGAGAGTCTAGGGCACTTCTGTCTTAGGCTACCTGTGTCCATGAGAATGGTTGTTAAAACCAGCCTATCCCATGAGACCAACAGCCTGCAATCTGTGTCCTTCTTGGGGTTCTAGAACCAAATCAGAGAGTTAGACCCTGCACCAGGGGAAGATTAGCAGCTGAAAGGAAGCCTTGCTCTGAAAGAGAGTTGTCTGATGTTCCCTCTTGACACCATTCTATCCTCTCTTCCTTTCCATCTTAATCTTTGGACAGTGAGCCAGACAGACTGCTTTGTGAGCCTCTGGCTGCCTACTGCCTCTCAGGAAAAGCTGAGGACCAGGACCATCTCCAACTGCCTACACCCAGAGTGGAATGAGAGCTTCACCTTCCAGATCCAGACTCAAGTGAAGGTGAGCCACAGAAAACACCTGTCTGCCCTGGCCACGTGGCTGCTCCCCTCTCATCCAATTGCACTTCTCTTCATGTGTGTCCTTCTGCCTGTTTGTCTTCCTACTTGTCAGACCGACCTGCCTTCCCATCACCCTCCTTTTCTTACGTGTGGCCCTCTCTAAGTCTACCAACCCTCTGCCTTCTTTCTAACTTCCCCTCTCCTCCTAAGTGTTGCTGGTTCTGGCTATCTCTTACTCCAGAACAAATTGTCTTTCTAGTACATTCCAGTCTATGCTCCCTGCAGGTGAATACACCAAAGGGAAAGCCATTCTTTTAACCAGGGCCAACCCAGTCTAATTCCAGCCAGAGGCTTTTCCCTTAAATCCCTTTCTAATTGCTTTAATACTTTTATTTGTGGTTCCTTGGGTGTGTATTCTTTCATTTGTTGAATCATTGTTTCATGATGCTGATCTTCAGGTAAATATACATGATGGCTCTAAGTTCATGCTCATATCTCTTGTTGAAGAATTAATTCTTCCTGGAGTATCTTTGATTACAGCATCCTTAGCAGAGAGACCTTGAAACAAATTTGATTTCATAATGGAGGCATCAACTCCAATCCTGAGACACTTGAAACTTGAAAGCTCCAGATTACTACTTCAGATTTCCAGTTCATCACGCATCCTTTTAGTTTTCAAGAAAGTTAAGGTCATTATGATTTTTTTTAAATACCTTTTTACTATTTGTGGTAGCACACACCTGTAATCCCAGCACTCAAGGAGGCTGAGACAGGAGGCTTGCAAGTTTGAGGTCAGCCTGAGGTATACAGTGAGACCTTATCTCAAAAAAATAAAATAAAATTCCCTTCCTATCATATATGAATTTGGCGAGGGAGAAAGACTCCCATATGAATGCAATCTGCCATCTTGACCTCAGAATTTGGGCTTCTTTTGTCTTATGAATTATGGTGTTGCTGGGTTGTTCTGGTACATGTGTAAGTTTATAGTAATTACAAGATCAACAGATTCCTATCTACTTGGAGATGCCCAGAACCACAATTATGTCCACCAGATAGAGACCTGGGAGGCAAACCAAGCCTTGAATCATAGCTCTCAGGATCGTTGGATAAGAGGCCTCAGAGACTAGTCCATGCCACCTGAGGCCATTGAGTATAGCCACTTTCTTCTTGAAGAGCTGCTTGAGGACCACATAGAAAACCTTATTAGAAGTTGATGAGCCGAAGAATAGAGTTCAGACAACTCATCTGAACCCTTGTAATCCCAAAACCCAGGTAGCCTTTGCTCCATCCTTCCCCTGGAGTGTCAAATGTTAACTTGCCTTGCCCCACATTTTTAGCACTAAAAAAAAAAAAAAAAATCTGTATTCAGCTCTAAGGGACCCCGTGTCTTGCAGGGTCTTGCTCTGCTTTTCACCCTTCCCCAGGTGAAATGAAAACCCTCTATACTTCCCAGGTTTCTCAAGCTTGTAAAAGAGCCAAATTCTCCTGGAGTCAGAACAGGGGTTGGAAAAGAGGGAAAAGACACTCCCTTCCTAAATTCATTTCCCTGAAAGTGTCTCTGACACCTGAACAGGAGCTTCTGTGTTCCTCTCCCTCAGACCTTCATACCTGCCAGGACTGAAGTCAGGCCCCTTGACAGGAGTGAGTCACTACAACCATGGTAACCAAGCTTCCACCCTCCCTTCTCTCCTAGAATGTGCTGGAGTTGAGTGTCTGTGATGAAGACACAGTGACACCAGATGATCATCTCTTGACGGTTCTCTATGACCTCTCTAAGCTCTGCTTTCGGAATAAAACCCACGTGAAGTTCCCACTCAACCCAGAGGTGGGTGCGAGAACCCAGGTCATCAGCCTCTGGTGTGATGGGAACAGCCATTTACTACCGTGATACCCTGGCATGGGCACACAGCCAAGTGGGAAAAGAGGTGCTTCTGGTTCAAACCTCAGCACTATTACCTGCTAGCTGTGAGACTGCAAGAAACTACTTAACTCCTTTCATTGTCAGTTTCTTCATGTGCAATGGTGACAATGGTACCTCCAAGCAAGATTGCTGTGAGGCTTAAATGAGAAAACATAGTAAAGGCACCTAGCAGTCAGTGTGATACCAAATGGAGATATAGGTGTTGGCTCCCTTTTGCCCTTTTCTTACCTCAGAGTCCTGTTTCTGGGCTGCCCCAGGGTACAGAGGGCAAGTCAGAGAAGGTCAGAGCTAGAAAGAACCATAGTATTATAGATTCAATCATTCAACAAATATCTGGGTGCCAGTTGTAGACCTGGGCCCTGGACACACAGGAGAGAGCAACTCTCTCTGCCTTTGCTTCCTGGACATTCCAGAGGAGAAACTGAGGCCCAGTGAAACTATGGCTCACCTCTGGTTACACAAGAGGCATGGAAGCAGAGGTGAGGGAAGGGGCCAGCCTGGCAGAGTTGGGCTTTCTGGAGTTACTAGCTCCCTCACCCATGCCTTGAGCCCAGCAAGCCGGCAGTGGTGAGTTATGGATAAAGATGGAAATGAAAGGTCCCAGGTCAGAGGAATGGATATACGGGGCCAGATGCCAACTCCACACTGACTCCCCTGTGTTGTCAGTGCTATTCCTGATGTCACAGACTTGGGACTGAGAGAGGTAGAGGAGACAATGGGAACCAGGTAGCAGCTACACCCTCGTCATGGTCCCAGAGTCAGGTATGGAGAAGGCAGGGCAGGTCTGCATGGGTGTAAAGGGGTCCTGGGAAGCAGAGATGTGCAGAGCTGGCTCACAGCCACCTTCCCTTCCTCTCCTGCCAGGGAATGGAAGAGCTAGAGGTGGAGTTCCTGCTTGCAGAGAGGTGAGTAGGTGCCAGCCCTCTGGGTCAGCCAGGGTCCTTTAGGTTTCAGAAGTGGATCTGCCTTTTTGCCAGTGTCCCCTCTTCCAGCCTCATCGCTGGCATTTGTCCTAGCCTTCTTCTTGTGTCAGTTCTCTCTGGAGTTTGTGAAGGATGTTGGTAGGCTCTACCCCTACTCCAGTTCCACTGATAACAGTATTCTTTATAGGGTTGGGGATGTTGGTAGAGTGCTGGCCTATCATGAACAAAGCATCTGATTAGCAAATTAAAGTCAACTTCTTCACAGTGAAGAAAATCTAGGCTTTTCCATCTCTTGGATGACAAGACGTTGGGGGTGGAATTCTTCTTTATTTCTTTCTTTCTTTTTTTTTTTTTTTTTTTTTTAAGTTTTCCAGGGTTGATTGATTAACTGCTTGATTTTTGCAGTACTGGAGACTGAGAATAAATCCACCTGCCTCTGCCTCCCAACTGCTGGGATTAAAGGCATGTGCCACCTGCCCAGCCTGGGAGTGGAATTTTTTAATTGAATTAGAAAGTGATTTGTAAAAATTTTATAAGGGTGGATCTGAAGATAGTCCTCTTGAGCCTAATTTTGGAAGGAAGGCTCTGGACTTCTCTAGGCTAACTGTAACTTTGGAGGCTTACATTCCTCACTTTATAACATAAGGACACTTACCATTCAGCCAGCACTTCCCTGGCTGGTGGTAACTATCTGTTGCATGCATACATTAGTTAAAGCATAGAAGCCCTGTTGCTACCAAGTGTTTGCTTCAGTTCTTACTGTACACTACCAGTCCTCAGAACTACACAGAGCTGCGTTAAGTTAAATATAAGAAGTTATTATTATTATTATTATTATTATTATTATTAATCTTTTTTTGAAGCAGTGTCTCCCTGTAGCCTCAGCTGTCATGGAACTCACTATGTAGACCAGGCTGGCCTTGAACTCACAGAGATCCGCCTGCCTCTGCCTCCCAAATGCTGGGACTACAGGTGTGTGCCACCACGCCCGGCTAGAAGTTACTACTTTTTTTAATGGAACTTTTCTATTCCTTCTAACCTATAAATCTATTTTTCCCTAGACAGTCTATGTAAAATGTATACCATTTTCCTCCTTGACAACTTAGAATTGTAAATCTAAGGTTGAGACAGGATCTCGTGTAGCAGAGGCTGGTCTTGAACTCTTATCCCCCTGCTTCTACTTCCCAAGTGCTGAGATTACAGGTATATGCCACCATGCCTGATTCAAATCTAGGGTTTTGCTAAAAAAAATTTATTTATTATTTTTATGTGTATGGTGGATTGCCTGCATGTATGTAAATGCAATGCCTGCAGAGGTCAGAAGAGGGTGTCAGATCCTCTAGAACTGGAGTTATGGACAGTTATTAGCCTCCATGTAGGTTCTGGGAATTGAACCTGAGTCCTCTGTAAGAGTAGCCAGTGCTCTTAACCACTGAGTCAGATCTCTAGACCCCAAACCTAAGGATTCTTAAGCAGATAT